AACATCAGGTATTCAAAATAGGTGGAGTTGACCACATACCAAACTTTGTACTGGTACTGGTTTTTAGGGATGTATCTCCGCAGGGGTCGGGCTTTCAGGGCATATTCTACACACTGGCGCTGTGAAAGAGGCAGGGTAGATTTAAAACTCAAAATCAAAATACAGGGTTGGTCACCTACCTTAAAATACAGTAAAAATACAACGTGTTTCAAGATTTTTGTTGACATGAATATGCTTGGTAGAAGAATTTCTTTTAGGTCGCAATCTGAATATGCATATCCTACCTGTTGAAGAGTTCGATATGCATTTACTTTGGCCAGACAGTGCCATCATGCTTACCTGATCTCAGTGAATCAAAAGGTACAGCACACATTTTTAAGTAAATGTTGTACCTTGAGTAAATCTTACAAGATTTTTTTTACCTAACTCCTGAAAAATGGCAGTGAAGCCATCTTGTTGTTTTATCTTGTTGGCAATCTTCACATGTTCCTCTGTATGTTTTTCTCTCTTAAATGCTTGTTCTCAATGTATTTTCTATGTTTAGTGGCAACAAGGTATAGTAAGTTACCTGGTTTTTGTCCAGCTCACAGTTCTTGTACTCTTGTTCTCCTTGTTCCTGAAATGTGACGATGACGAAACCAACGAAGATGTTCATCATGAAGAAAGCAATGATGATGATGTAGATAATAAAGAAGATGGAGATCTCAACCCTGTGATTATAGATGGGTCCTACATCCTCCATGTGGGAATCAATGGACCTATACAGCAACCTGAAAGCAAACAGGAGCCAAATGCAGAGAAAATCTGCAACTGCCTTGAGGCCTTATAGGTGATGTTATAAAGTTTAACTGTGTGATTTTCTTCTACTTGTATCAAAATTAATTCACTCACAGACGTGCAGACTTGCACTGATCTGAGCGTAAACTGTTGCAAGAGAGAAGACACAGGTCTTTACACGTTTGAACCTGTTCAGGGATGAAATGTTTTCATAGTTGTACAATTAAAATTTAAAACAAAAGCATGCGCTTCAGTTAACAGAAGACAGGAGAGTCTGTGTTATTTGGAACTGAGTTTTGTGAGAAAAGGGGATCTCAGCACTTTTAACACTGGTTAACAATGCTGCTGGCATCACCTGGTGACACAGGTCAGGGTCAGCCCCCTGATACCCTGCATGCCCATGTCACTCTGACAGAGTGGAGCTGTGGGAGTCCTCAGCCCCTGTGGCACAGGCAGCACAGCCTGATAAGACATCCCGTGTCTGCTCATATAGAGGTAGCACTGCTGTGTTTCATACTGCCCTGCTGGCTCCATTGGAAAACTTGCAATACTGGTAAATGCCTGACAGGCATTTTGTATCCATTTATATACATAAATTTTGTAACAAATATTGCTATCACTGCTACTACTGGCAAACATTTTTTAAGAGACAGAGACAGTGCTGTGCACTGTTTGCAAGTGCAGCAATTTCTGCAGGCCCTGAGAAATTTACAAAGTACATAATACTACAATGACTGCTGCTACTTTTGCTACATTTAATGCTTTAGATTTATTTAAATACTTAGAATGGGAAAGACTACGCTCTGCATTTGAATTTTCTGTTTTGAAATGAATGAGGACATTGCAAGTGCTGCACCGGTCCACAAAGCACTCACTCTGGCCAGCCCTCAAATGTTGAGACAGTGAAGAGGGCCATCATGGCAGTCAAGACGTTGTCAAAGTCAAACTTGCTGTTCTCCCAGCTCCGGGGCTGTATCATGGGCTGGTTGACCTCACCATCCTTGTATGTAATGTAGTACCCTCTGTGGATGGAGAGCAGAGAGAGAACATGGCAGAACTGCATTTCCAGTACAAGGCCCTGAGAGTGGGTGGCCGGTGAAGGGGGCTAACTGGGAAAGGTCAGACCCACCTGCATTCTGCTGCTGTCTGCTTGGAGCTATCAGTGCAGCTGTACAGCTTACCCTTGAAAAGGAAGAAAGAGGAATGAAGCTTCTTTTCCTGACAGTGCAAGGGTTAGGGCAGATCATGTAGCAAGGAGACTGCATTTACTACTTACTTAACCAACTATGAGTATGTTTGCGTGCTCTTGTGCAGGCAGATGTGAGCAAACTGGAATGAGAGTTGCCTGCATCTGGGTAGTTCAGAGCACAGGCTTTCATCTGCTTGCGCAGTACTTTTATGTGTACGTCCTGACGTGCATGACCACTGAGTGCTGCAGAACACTAGTTGTCAGAAGGTTGGTGAAGGGCAAAGAAATAAAAGCAGACATAAAGAAGTATACGAATAACCTCCTGTGATTATCTGGCATGCCCCTTCCTCAACAACATGGGGCGTAGACAGACTGCAAGTACTAATCCTTTAGAGCAGCCCCCATCACCTCCCTGGCACTAAGTCATGCCACAAGCTATTTAGGGCAGAAGAAGGTTACTGATGTTGCTGATGATTTCTTACGATTACAGATGAAGGGAAGGAGTTCTGAATACGCCTGGTCCAGTTTTGGGGAACTGCTGGTAGCAGGAGCCCAGGTAACACTGCCAGTGCCCCAGATGTTTTCCCTTTCACACAGAAGACTCGATCTCCCCTCCCTCAGGCTTCTTCAGGCTATTTTTCTTGCAATCCCATAATACAGCTCAGTGTAATGGATGAATGAATGGGCCCAATGGTTTTACCTTGAACAACTGAACTCCAATGCAGGCAAACATGAACTGCAGCAACGTGGTGACAATCACAATGTTTCCGATGGTTCGGATGGCGACAAACACACACTGGACCACATGCTGCAAATGGAAAATAGGAACAAAAGTAACTTGCAGGATTGTTCTGAGCTGCTCTGGCTAAGGGACAAGCCCAGGACTAAAAACACAAATAAAAGAATTTCAGTTAACTATTGCCCTTTAAGTAATGTCTCGGGAAACGGGAGAGAAGATCAACTTGTTACATTCCTCACTGTACTCTTAGAAGAAGGAAGAAAGGCATAGGAAAATACCAGAGGTCAGCTCTCTGAAACTTCCAGCAACACCAACTTACATAACTGGGCACCCACCAGACTACAGGAAGGAGTTTATCTAATACAGCAAGGCTGTATTAAAATAGGCTTATGATCCCATCTGTAACTCTAGCAAACTACATCATTTAACCTCAGTGGTGATGCTGGGCCACACATCTGGAAAGCAGCTTGGCAGAAAAGGACCTGGGGGGTCCTGGTGGACACCAAGTTGAACATGAGTCCTTGCTGCAAAGATGACAAATGGGCTGCGTTGGGAAAAGTATTTTCAGCAATTTGAAGGAGGTAATCCTTCCCCTCTACTCAGCACTGCTGAGGCCACACCTGGAGTACTGTGTCTAGCTCTGGGCTCCTCAGTACGAGAGCCATGGATGTACTGGAGGGAGTACAGCAAAGGGCCACAAAGATGTTCAAGTCACTGGAGCATCTCTCCCATGAGGTAAGGCTGAGAGAGCTTCAGCCTAGAGAAGAGAAGGCTCGGGGGAGTCTTGTCAATGTATACAAATACCTGAAGGGAGGGTGCAGAGAAGGCAGAGCCAGACCTTTTCAGTGATGCCCACTGACAGGACAAGAGGCAACGGGCACAAACTGAAACACAGGAGGTTCATCTGAACATTGGGTAACACTTTTTTACTGTGAGGGTGACTGAGCATTGGAAGAGGTTGTCCAGAGAGGTTGTGGTGTCCCTCTTCTTGGGAGATATTCAAAAGCATCTGGTCCTGAGCAACCTGCTCTTGGTGGCCCTGCTTTAGCCAGGTTGTTGGACAAGACAACCTCCCGAAGTCACATCCAACCTCAACAATTCTGTGATTCTTCTGAAACACTACTTGAACCAATGCAATAGTCCTTGTAGCCTGAAACAATTTGAATTTATAGTTTACAGAATACATCAGGATTCTTCTAACCTTTAGTCCTTTGGCTCTGTTTATGGCCCTCAGCGGTCTAAGGACTCGCAGAACACGCAGGATTTTCACCACATTGATGGCGCTCGACCTGGAAGAAGGTATTGGAAGGTTTGAGAGATACAACACAGGAGGTGTGCTGTGAGGTCAGATGGATTTCACCCACTCTTTCTTGTTTGAAATCCTGCATAGCCTTAGACTGCTTAGGACAGTTAGAGAGTCAACTCTTTGCTATGACACTTCAGGGGTAAGGAAACTACTCTCTGATGTTGTCTTCATATGTCTTGCTTCCTGATCTGGGCAAGCTCAGTATACATTCTACTGGCTTTCACCATCTCTGCTGTATTAATGAAGGGAATTGAACACGGGCAGGGTATTTTCATTTTTTTTAAGCAGGGCAACCTGCCAAATACTCTGCAGATATATATGATATGGAAATTGTGCCAAGATGTAGTCATCACAAGACATTTTCAGATAAGGCTCAAAGAAGCACTCCACTGAAATATTCATAAAAGAGTGGAAATTCCAGGTGACTCCAGCATTAAAGCTATACCATCCACTTGGAGCTTGATTCTGCAATGTGTTTGGCCTCTGATCCCACAAGTCAATTAGGCGTGTACATAAATTTAAGGATGTGGAAACTCACACCGAATTGATTATGATGACTTACGTACTTAATTTTAAGTACTGAACACAACTATCTACTACAACAGAGCTCTCTGCATCTTCCAAGACTAAAACCCTGACTTAGAATGTTCTCCATGCTGTATGACATCAGGCACTCCTACTGCTTTTGGGACCAGTTCTTCTGCTAACATATTAAGAGTCTAGTTAGGTCTGTAAGAAAGAAACAGCAGGTCAAAATGAACACTGTGCCTTTCTTAAGACCTTGACTGAAAGCCCAATAGACCTGACAAATCTTTCTGCTTGACTTAGCTCTGGAACATAAGTAAGTGAGCTGCTAACCTGTAATGATGATAATTAGGAGCTTCTTATTAGATGTGATACCACTTAGGAAATTCCCTATCCAACACATAGACTTCCACATAGTCAAGTAAAACTATAAACTTATTAAACAAATTAACAGATCAACCAACACAAAGTGGTGTGACGGAAGCAGGATCAACTGTCACTGCCACCAGTACGCTGCAGATTCTCACACAACTCTTCAAGCCCTCGATGGTCTGCCATTGACTAAGACTCACAACATCTTAGGAAGCAGCAAAACATTATCACCCCATTTTCCAAAGAGGTTATGAGAGCTCTAGGAGGGAACAGTAAGTGACTTAACTGTCCTGAACTGACACAGTGAATCAGAGAGCTTGGAACAAAGCTTAATATCGTGATTCCCAATGGGCCAAGTTTCTTATTCTCACTTGTTGTTTCTGAAAGATCTCCCCTCCAGGTCAATAGTGTAGCATTTCCCAATTGTTACCTCCTCTTTTGAGGATGAATTTTAATGGTCTTGAATTATCTGAGAAAAATACTTCCAGGCTCATGAGAAAAATCTTAGCCAGATAAGACAATGAGCCTGAGGTATCACCTCCCAAACCTGTCCCTACAACCCCCCAAAACCAGCTAGTTGAAAATAGCTCACTCACTGAATCCCAAAGGAGATGAGAGAAACGCTGACCACCAGCAGGTCTAAGATGTTGAAATAGTTTCTGCAGAAGGAGCCCTTATGGAGGAAAGCCCCGTATGCGGTCATCTGCAGGAAGGCACATGAAGACACAAACACACTTGGCCATTAGCATCTGTTCAGAAACCAAACCCATCTGGTTGTGCTCAGAGTGTATAACTGGGAAGGGGCAGTATTTCTAACACAGCAGACGATTTATCCCCCAGACCCCAAAGGAGAAGTCGAGTCCCCATTGAAAAAAAAGAGAGTGAAGAAGACAGTGAGATAACATTGAAAGACCTAACTAGGGAAAGGCAACACTAGGTTCAGTGAGGAAAATACGCACTTTGAGTGCATAGAGTACGTAACGTTTAGAATCAGCAAAGCAGCAGAATGACTGTTTGCAAAAACTACTCTTTGCAATCATATGCTTTTCCCTTTTTCTTCAATGGCAGAAGACACTTATGAGTATGATGCTTGTATTATGTAAAGGTCTCTTTAGTCAAACTGAATAAAAAATATAAAATAAAGAGGGCTCTTTTGTAATGTTTTTCAGTACTTAGGCTAGCTGCAGTAGACAGTTGAGCTCTCTTCCCTTCATAAAGAAAAAACCAAAATCCCTCATGGATTTGATGCTTTAGGGTTGAACTGAAGCAACAGGAGGAATTCCTGCTCTCTTCAGTTTGCTCCTTCTGTTCAGCTCAATACCTTTTCCTATCCCTATCCAGCTTCCTCCATTTTTATTCTAGAAGCAGTTGCATTTTACCCTTGGTTTTCCTCACAAAGCCCAAGGTAAGATTCCTTGAGACAGAGTGGTTTCTTTGTGGAGGTAATCATTATGAACATTACCTAGAAGAAGGAAGGGGAAAATTTGACGTATTTTCCAAGGAACTCTCTGCCCTGTCTGGGTATGAGGGGGTATCAAATACGTGCTGGCTTTGAGGAGGATGTAACAGCTCCAGAATTGGATTAAGTGACACCGTAAACAGAAACGGGTCTCAGTCACAATGTCAGACCTAAACACTTCTGAGCTCAGAATTTGAATTTTAGACTGAGCTCAGTTACAGAATGCAGCTAAATAAGTCTGGCATGGTTAAAGAGGGTGAGGAGGTGGGGGTATTTGTACCACCTACCTTAGACTTGGTGAGCGATCTAATGTAGCTGCTTTGAAGAAACCCCATCCCCACAACTGCTAATGTCCCTCCATTATCTGGATTAGGAACACAGGCTTCTAAATTTGGTCCCCTGAATCTCATTTCAGTTGGATGTCTAAAGTAACTTGAAGCAGACACCGTGAGACTGTTCCTCAATAATGAGCTCTAGACAAACTCTCAGCTGAGAAGTGTGAACTAGAAATTCAAACGAGTTTTCCAGCTCCTGCTAATAGCTCGGGATAGCATACCTGCTAGTGGTTTTCAGACATGCCTACCTGTGACAACTTTATTCAGAGGGGGGTGGAAGGCTAAACTGGTATCTGCTATATCAGATTACTTTTTTCACCAAACATCCATGACACCAGGGAACTGACTGTCAATCAGTCAGACAGAACTTAGAGGGGGAGGAAGTATAAACTCTGGTCTTGTCTTAGAATTTATACTTATAGACACATTCGGTTGGGGAAGGGGGAAGGGGTTCTTGCCATAACAAAGGTGGTAAAGGTGCCCTTTACTGGTTAGATTTTGTATGGCAATCTTAAAAGAAAGGAGACACCATTGAAATCAGGAGGGGAAACTCTGTTGAGTTTAAGTTCTGTACAAACTGTGGTTCTCTCAAAGCCTGTTGAGAGATTTTGTTATCTCAGAAGAGACTCTCCAAGAGTGTATTATCTATCTATATCTCCCATCTGGTGCATTGAACAAGCTTTTAGCATGCCAATTAAAAAAACTTGGTGGTCACCTTGCTAATATTCACCAGACTCCACCACAGCAGTGTGAGGCTTGCAGGTGTCTTCAGCAACATGAGGGCAGATGAAGCTTGTTTCTCTGCAGCCTTGAACATCCTATGGCCATTTATTCTTTCATTTCTTACTACTTACACTAAATTTGCTGTTGTGCAAAACATTGTGTTCAATGCAAGGCAGCAGAGAAACATGCAGTGAGAAAACAACTTGTGAGGCAGGAACTGACAGGGTAAGAGCAGAAGAAATTCTTAACCATTTGCAGTCCTTGCACTCCTCTCCCACTTGAACCCAGAGAATATCCAGGGGTGTTGACATAAACCCAACTGAAGTTAACAGGAGGACATCAGGAGGGCAGTACAGCCCCTGATGAAAACAGCAATATGCCAATGAGCTTGGTTAGGTTCTGCTTCCACTGAAGTCATTAGGAGTGTTACCATTTTCTTCAGTGGGAGTAGAATTAGTAATTATAAGTTCAAAGAAGTGTCTTAAACTATGGTTTTGTTTTTAAATGTTGCTCTTGAGATGTTTTCCTTTTTTGACAGGCCTTTTTATCAGCCATTTGGTATGTGCATGTTCAGATTTATTATGTAAACACAGATGCACTCTGCACACAAGCATAATACATACATCTCTTTGGAGAACATTATGGCTTTGGTGATTTTAAGTCACATCAAAAGCAGGTTTCTCTACAAAAATATGCAGGGGCCACCCTGCTTGCCAGCCTTCAGTATGGATACTGTTATTAGGGTCTTGATCTGCAAGATTTGAGAAGCTCTAAGGTACTGCCTGCTAGCACTCAGAACTAGCTTGCTGAGAAAAAAAATCAAGCTGCCAAGTGAACCTAGCATTTAGAAAGACCGAACTTTGCTCAATTACTGTTATTTAAATTATTAGCCTATCAATTTGGGAAAATTAGAGTTAAGAACAAGGCAGCCTATTTTTATTTTCTTCTGAGCTAAACCATTCTCCTGCCCATTTCCCTTGGTATAGAGCGTGTTCCTGGGAAATGGGAAGCCAGGTTTCAAAAAGGCGATGCAGAAATTTTCATTTGCAGCTACAGTCCTTGGTGTGTCAGTGATTTGTGCTCTCAGTTACCTCATCACACCCACAAAGCGAGCTTCTGCACTGTGCTCCCTGTCTCCTACTTGACTGTGCATCCTGTAACCTTACAGAAGTCACTGGCCACCCTCTGGCCCAGCCTCATGACTTGTGCTGAATGGAGACCTTCTCTTTGGGTAGCATGTGTAAGAGGAGGTGTAGTGTTCAGGGTTCCTTCTACAGCAAACAAATCCTGGGAAAGGCTGGCCAGGGTAGAGAGAGAAATTTATGGGGTGACGGCCTTTTTCTTTGTTCCCTCTTACTTTTTCCAATAGGATCATCCTTTCATTGTGATTCCCCTACACAGCATTGTTTGATATAGGCCCTGAATTACAAGTTTGAATATCAAAATTTCACAGAAGACTTTTTAAGCAACTACCAAAATATTAAAATCAAAAGATAAACAATCCTTTGTGTAGAAATAATAATGGGGTTAAAAAAAAAAAGAGAGCGAAAGAAAGAAAGAGAGCGAAAGAAAGAAAGAAAGAAAGAAAGAAAGAAAGAAAGAAAGAAAGAAAGAAAGAAAGAAAGAAAAAGAAAGAGAAAGAAAGAAAGAAAACGAGTGTATTGCTCAGATTGGTTACCTTAAGAATAATTTCTAATGTAAAGATACTAGTGAAGACATAGTCTGCATTGCCTAGGATCTGAAAAATAAGCACAATCGGGTTAGTGGTACTGAGCGTGACCCAGGAACAAACAGGCGTGTGTGTTAGCAACAGATAGTGGCAGAAAACTAGTAAGCTTGTGAACAAGTAATGGTAGAGAAGATGGGCACTTTACCTTCAGAGCAATTTCAATGGTGAAAATGACAGTAAAAACTATATCAAAATAAAAGAGAATCTGTAAAAACAAAAGGGAATAGGAGTGGGGAGGGTAGATCAGTGACTGATCACTTGAATGGGAAATCACAGTTCAAAATCAAATACATACGCCTTTTAACAAGGGAACAAGGAGGACTATATAGGAAATGGTTTTGTAAAGACATCCTGTTGAATGCAGTGAAGGTCCTGGCACGGAGGACAAGAAGCACATTACATGAAATATTTTCTGTGTTACAATGTCATGAGGGCTCTAGAGGCAAAATAACTTTTTGGTTGTTGTTGTAGGATTTTCTTTAATTTTTTTTTTTTTTTTTTTTTTTAATCTGTTAAAGAACAGACAATTCAAGGATTTTTACCAAATGGACTTCCAAACTGAGAATACAAGGATGCCTGGTCTTTCAGTGGAAAACATGAGATTCTTTCTTATTAACTTCCATTCAGGCTTGTTCTGTGCCTCTTGCAAAGGAAGAAAAGCAAACTGAAAATTCATGCTCTAGCTATTTTTTTTCTCTATCTTGGTTTGCCCTGGATTAGGATGAATAACAAAGACTCTACCAATTGAACAGAATTGTATTGCAACCATAATTTAGTTGTGTGCTAAAGGTGCCTAACTTAGATCTTGCGTCTTTCTATTCGCATCCTGGATAACAGGCAAACTGAAATAGTCATCATTCCCGTGAACTTAGACATGGTGAAGGGGATACTGGCGGCATGCATAGCAGACCACAAAAAGTGGTCCTAGAGTGTCCCACAAGGCAACAGCAAGGCTGGAAGTGCAAAGCGATTTTCAGAGTAGCAGCATCAAGGACTGAAATGTCTTTCACTGCTAATCAGTTGACATCCCACAAAAGCAAATAGGAACTTTCTCATTGACTGAGGGGACCAGAATTCAACTCTCTTTGTTTCCAGTGTATTCCACTGTTATCTGCACTACAAATGGTGAAAAATCAAAAGTACTGTGCCCTTGGATTTCTGTTGATTTACCATAACCAAGTTCTAAACCAGAAGACCAATATATGGAAGCTGTAGAAAACTGATCATTTGTGAAATTTAAACCTTTACTGCTAAAATACTAATAAACATACAGCAGTAAACTGCCCTCTCCCATCCCACAGGTGTTTATTGCATCTCAATGCCCATACCTTAACTTAGATTTATAGGTGGCTAGATTCTTACAGCTTGTTATGCCATGGGCAGTGGGGTAGCTGCTGCAAACTATAGGGTTATTTTAGATTGCACTCTTTAAGCATGATCTGAATCTGGACTAATTTGCAGACACTGAATGTCAAACAGGGGGATGTATCACTTACTGCTACTGCATGACTTAAAATTCCTCAGGTCACTGCTCAATTTTTGATCCCAAATTGTTCTCGCTTCTTCAAGGCTGTCTTGGGCTCTATCAATTTTTGCAACTCCGAGAATTAAAAAAGGGCTATTTCAAGGATGGACAGATCTCAGTTGCATCCTATACTAGTTTACACACATTATAACTGGAAATGTCCCCTTGCATTGCTGCTTTGTAGGTCCTGACATTTGGTTATTATATCAACGGAATAATTTTATAATCAATGGGCCAGATTCATGGGTACTCAGGCTGCTTTGCATGACTCCACCAACATAAAGCAGCCATAAACTTGATTAAAGTGAATGATTAAGCTGTACCTGCAGCTGCTTTACATCACCAGAGCAGCGCAAAGCAGCTAGAGCATACTGGTGAATCTGGCCCCAAAGCTGCAGCCAGTAAAGGTGTCCCTTATAGATTAAATCATATCTAATGAAAATGATCACTGCTCCACCTGTGCAGGCAGTATCATTTATCAGCAGGCATATTTATTATTATCTAAAAATAAATTTACTCTAGAATATATTAAAATGAATGAGCACCTTACCAAGGTGCAAACAGGAGAATATTGTGGGCACACAAAGTCTTAGGACTTGCTTGGGCTTTAAAGGCTGTTTGATCAGACTGGGGAGGCACTTCCAAAAACTTGCTGCCTGAGCCCTGTGTGACACAAGAAAGACGCAGCCACTAGCCTGCCCGGGGACAGAAGCAGTGTCCAAGCCTCTTCGCTAGCCCTTGCTGGGCTCTCTGTTCCTGTCTTCCTGCTCTGGGACAATTTATGTCAACAGCAGCACTAGTCTGCACGGGTCCTTATGCACAGGTTATCACCTGATTACATTGTCCCAGAGTGAAGGTAGAGGCAGTTAGTTTGCTTTTAGCTTATTTGCTTGCTTTCTTTTGCTCCCAGGCCACTGTGTGGGCACAGGGCAGGACACAATCTTACTGTTCTACTGTCAAAGTGTAAAGGCAGACCACATTTGCAACCCAGACATCTTGTCAGTGTCCCCTTGTTTGATACATTTTAAATATCTGTACCTGAAAAAATTAAACACAGGTTTTCATGCAACATCAATGGCTTCAAATACACAAGACAACATTACCCCAAGCCTTCAGCTCCTTTATCCAGGCCAACCAGCTTTGACTACTTTTTTCTTATTTAAATCTCTCTGCTACAGATTCTGCAGCAGCTTCTGTGGCATGTCAGAAGCCCATGTGTCAGCTGACATCATGCTGCAGCGCTAATACATATTGACATAGTTTATCCCTACGTGGTGGGCACACACAGCCGTGCACAAGTGGGTTATTGGTGCCTCAGGTTTGGCTATATTGTTTCGTACCCTCCTTCAGGACAAAATGCAAAGCAGGTCTGAGATAAGCTTGGGAATAAACCTCCATTAACACCTTCTCTGCATGCACATAAGTGTTTAAATGCTTGCTCAGGCCAGGATATTTCAGGGAAGTAGAACACAATGTTAAGTTAAGGTTTTATTATTAAACAACAACAAAAAATTGTCCCATTCCTTAAGGCTAGCAAGCTCTTCCAGCATAAAGGCACCAAAATGCCACTGCAGACAGCAGAGATCAGAAGTCTC